ACCTTCATTTAAAAACTGCATGTTGTGTTTACTTGTGTTATCTTTTACTAATATTTAAATTTGTTTGATGATCTGAAACATTAAAGTGTGACAAACATGCAAAAAAATAAGAAATCAGGAAGGGGGCCAACACTTTTTCACACCACTGTATATGAAGAGTTCATTAGCAAAAACCGATAAACGCCACTTTAAAAAAAAAGAAAATGAGCTGATTGCCGTGCATTATTCTCCACATATAGCGTGGTCTGAACCCTAATACGTTTTGTCAAAAAAGCCGGGTTTGTCCACTTTCAAGGCATCGCGAGTTCACGTTTTACTGCAGAAGCTGACAAGCGCCCTTGTTGTTTTTGAACAGAAGCCTATAAGTCAATTTTAGCGAATCAGCGCGCTGTATTCAGGTCAGGTGACAAGGCTACTTTCACTTTGAAAAGACGTGCTGCTAGCTGAGAGGACTTGAGGCATCATCATCAACTTTCTCTATTCAAATAACAGCTAATAGACTTTGTGGTAATTCATTAACTATAAACGTGTAAATGTTTGCAGTATTTAGGATATTTGCCATGTATTTTAAATAATAATACTAATACAACATAGTCAGCATTAAATTACTAAGCAGTTTGACTTTCTGGCCTTTCATTCGAACACTTCCAGGTCCAAATCCTCATCTTGGTTATGCGTCTCACCAGGAAATCTGCCTTCAATCTTCAGTCCCCTCTAAAACGAGCAGCTGCTTTCACTTCCCTTCTAATATTTGATAAAGAATCACTTAATATGCCACGAGCTCTGTATGGTCCAACACAGGGGCTGCTGGGGAGCCAAGAGACGCTGGTACACTGATCTTCAGTCCCATTGTGAATGAAATGATTGACGTTTACGGCGATGCTGATCTCCAGCCAACACGCCTTGGCATAACGGATCAGTGACGTACGGTTCCATACAGTCCGCCGAACGTGTTTCAATAAACACGGTACAAGACGCAGCGGCTAGCAACATGCACATCTCTCACGTGTGAGAATAAGCAAATGCGGAATTCACTGAGTGTGTGTGTGTGTGTGCTGCCGAGTTTGCGTTTTACACAACGGCAGTTAAAGTGCAGTGATATGCCTGCCGCAGAGAGCATTAGAGAGGGATGAAAATATGAATTCTGAGTATGACGCTATGCAGGCTAAATCATTGATGTCTAAATCAAACGCGCGCGCGTTTACGTTCTCACACAATACGTTCTCATATACTTACATGCACAAAGAAATCAGACAAAGCAAGACGCAATGTACTGACGTGAGAGAGCAGCCCCCACAGAAGCAAACATTTCATGCAAATATCCTCTACGCGGGCGTAAGAGAAATATGAAAGCGCGAGCGTGCAGAGAAACACACGGAATGCATTTATTCACACGTACCCCATGGGACCATGTGGAAGGAAGGAGGCCTAATAATCAACAGCATAATAATGGAATGCACACTGACACACGCATACGCTCGCATGCACAGACGCACAACTGAACCTACATACAAAGTATGCAGGGTGTTTGCAAAAAGCACATTCATAAGTGTCTGTAGCTACATGGTGCAGCAAGCCAAAAACCCGTTACGCTACACACGTCTGTTCCTGTAACCTCTAGAAAGAAAAAAAAGGTGTCAGGATCCACACAACCGATTTGTCTGGCCAATCTTTTCCTTCACCAGACACAGTTCAAACAAACACACACACACACACATACACACATACACACATTCCCTCTCTCACTTTATGTCTGTGTGCCCATGTGCTGAAGCCTGGTGTGATTGCGTGCTCTATGCGCAGGAGAGAGAGAGAGAGAGAAAGAGAGAGAGAGAGCGCGCGAGCGAGAGAGAGAGATTTACCTGACTGTGGTCTCCAGGCTGGCTCCAGTCTGGAGGAGAGAGAATTAGCAAACCAGCATTGCAGCGCGCAGCCAGTCTCTTCATCAGCTGATCACTCAAAACGCACAGCCCAAAAGAGGGGGTGAAAAGCTCCCAGCTTTTCATACACAAATCAATTGCCGTTAGGATGTTGAGAGAGAGAGAGAGAGAGAGAGAGAGAAATAACTGCGAGATGCCTTTCTGCTAGTTTGTCCCTGTGGAAGGGCCTGCAGCTCGCTTTTCTCTCTCTCTCTCCCCCCACTCTCTCTTTCACTCTCACTCGCTGCATGTTTTAATATCGACTGTCGCAATCTGGTTTCTTTTCCTTTGTTCCTTTCCCCCTCTCCCTCTTTTATACTCTTGTTCAGTCTTTTTTTAACCGCCCCTCTGTTAAAAGAAGCGGGCTCCATTTTTGTGCCTAGATGGTTTTTTGCAAGCTTTACTGACATCTTGAGAGGATTCCAGGGTTGTTAATGTGTTGCACACACTCTCACACACATGCACATACATTAGCTAATGGCATGTTTGTATCTGCGTCTGGGAGCTTTTACAACATAAAAAAAAAACAGAGATTCTGGTGAAAACATTTGGGGCTATAAATATTACCAGATAGTCCAAACATAATACTTCTGTCTGCTTCCCTTTGAGAACTGAGCCAAATAACTTATAAAGTAGTTTCACATGTAGCTCACAGATGTGGCATATGCTTAATTATCCTTATGCCGTATTATTGTAAGGGCTCAGTGGTGTCCTAATATTACTTAGAATGTATTCTTGTTCAAATATGATCAGAGGATGGCAGACCTGAGACACATTTATTTTGAAACAATGTTGCTGAATTGGTATGGGTGTGAAAATGTGCTGTATAACTAACTAAAAACATAAATAAAAAACAGTAGATAACTGAAATGGTCAAAACAGACCTTGAGATAAAGCTGAAAAATTTGTGTCAGGGACACATACACCAATAAAAATAAAACTGGCCATATGTGTTTATCATATTTCTACTGAAAAGTAATCTCAGCAATAAACCATAATAACTACATGTGAACAGCAAAATAACATACAAGAGGTTGTGATAGTAAGTAAAATCAGCTCTATATAATGTAATGTGTTATCAATTTTTGCATTATGTAATCTGGTTTTAAATCCAATATGAAAGTTCATTTTAATAAATTGCCAACATTTTCTATGAGGCTAAATTGCCATCTGTCATCAGAAATCCCTGTGATGAGTCATATTTCTGCTTTCAATATTTTCCATAATAATTTTCATGAATGAAATATGCCTCTTAAGAGTCTGTTTAATATCAGATGCAGTTTTAAGATGCAACGTCATTCATGTAAATTTGCCATGCCAACAGCTTCATTACAAAAGCCATTGTTTGATTGATCAAATAATCTTATATTTCTAACAAGCCTCTGATAAGTATCAATATTGTTTTTTTACGGAAGAGCACATTTTTAGTGTATGCGTGTGTTGTGGTATGATTATATGCTGTCATAATTTTACATTTCATATGCATGTTTTGCTATCAGGTCGACAAGGGCATTTTGGTAAAACATCTCAGGTGGTTACTATGGCAACACCACGTTTTACTGACTGCAGACCGCACAGAGCTGTAATGCTATAGCATTCCATCACAAAACACAGACACACACTTTGTCGGACACACTGAGCTGAACATTATCAAACACAATGAGCCACTGAGCTACATAAAGATGAGCTAAAATCCAAAGACATGCTGAAGTATAATCAGTGAAGATTTATTCAAGTTAATGTAAGTCAATGCATGCATCTTATATAGGTAATGTGTAAGGTATCAGTATTCCAACACAAAAATATAGCTGTAATATGTCAAAAGCTACACAAAAAAAGCAACCCTTCTAAGCTAATCTAAATGAATGCAGACTTTAAAATCAATTTCTCACCACAAGATATTGTTTGTGTAATAATAATAATAATAAATAATAATATGGGCTGTATTTTATCTGACACCCATCTTTTTCAGTACAGCTGCACTGATTCTACATAAGTATTGAATGTCAGCTGTTGTCCTTTTCACATGTTATTCTTTCCTTATTCTTAAATAAAAATGTCCTTCATTTTGTGAAGAATATCTTTTGTCATGTTAACAATTGCAAACATGATTGTGTAACTTCAAAAATGCTCAGACTGATTGTCATTATGCAGTAGAATGTAATGGCATAAAAAGATGTCATTTAAAAGACTAGATCTCACAAAAATGAATAAAAAAACTGTCATCAGTTACTAATAATTTCCCCTCCCCCTCTTTGGAACACAAAATATGGGGGAAAAAAGTACTGGCTGCTCTTTTTCATGCAGGTACAATGAATGGGAAATGTAGTTTTAAAGCTTTAAAAAATCATGAATAAAAAGGGGGGAAAAAAGGTTGGCCAGTGGTTATTTACATAATGACAAAATATGATGTCTAATATTTTGTATTTTTTGTAACTGAAAAAAAAGCAAGATGCAATGGTAAAAACATCCGTCTGATACACATAGACACAGATATTTTTGAATTGTCTGATGTATTTTTCAGCCTCATGGCTCTCAAGAGATCCTCTCATAAGATTCGTGATATACCACTGAAAAGCAGTATCATAAAAATGGTCCATTACTACTTGTGCTCTATGCAAGTCTTTGGAGTTTCGTCATGTTTTCATATCCAGTTGTAACAAATTAATTTGAAATGACAAGCTCTAAATTCAGATGATGTCTGAACAATCAAACGCCCTTCACACTGCATGGCATTTCTTATCAGGGTAATAATTACCCATCTGTTTGGGTTGGGACACCACAATTCTCTACTGGGTTAAGAAGAGCAGATCATAGTCAAATGACATATGTTCACATATCCAGACCAGTTTCTATAAATGCATCGCTGAAAGCATTCTAAACAGTTGTAATATATGCCTCAAGAAGGCCAGGTGTTTTCAAAAGCCCCATTTTCTGTAATTCCACCTACAAAAAATATACAGCACAGGGCAAAGATCAAAATTTTTATATATTTTGTCTTCCGAGGGACCAGCTAAAGTTCCTCACGAGGAGAACAGCTTAATGAATAATGAATGTCAATATGAAATTCCACAGAATTTTCACATTTCTGTTGTTTCATTTACATGGTAAAACCACGGCACTTGGTACTTACTTATTACTATATGCATGTTACCATGGTGCTTTTTACATGGTAATGTCATTGTACGTTTGGTGTTTTCGTGTAATGTTTTGATACTCCTTTGGTCGGAAAATGTCTTTACCTGCAGTCGTTCACTGCATATACAGGTGTTGAACTAGACAAAGACCTACTTCATCGCTGATAAACGACAGATTAATTATAGGCAAATAATCACTTCCTGCGCTCTTGTGGTTCTCTGTTTTAAATTATGATGTTAACCGTTTCACGGAGTGAGAAAAGATCAATTCAGTCCGTGCGTGAACAGCATGTGAGCAGTCGAGAGCAAAACGATTTAGATCTTAGTTTGGCCGATTAAAAAGAACCCATTCAATTTCACTCATGAATCACTGGTTCAGATTCTAATCGAACACATGATTATCGTCCGTTCGATTGTTGCAATAATAATAATAATGATGATGATAATAATAATAATAAATAATATTACTTTGGAGATTTGTTCCTCAGAGAACGACCTTCCTCATGTCTGCTGATCATCTGCAGTCCAGCTTTTCACCATTTAGATGGCATTATAACTGTATGAACTCTACAGATCTAGAATACAACTTGAGAGCAAAGTAATGCAATATTTGCAGTAAACACAAGGTGGTGATATAATCACATTTATTTACGTATATATGAACATGACATTTACATTTCATTCATTTTTATTAAGAGTTCTTAAAATCTAGATTTTTAGATTTTGGAAATGAATAGTGTATACTTGGTAATATATATATATATATATATATATATATATATTACAAGAAATTAAATCAAGCTTTTAAATGTGAAAAAAGGTTTATAATCCTAAAATGCATAAAATTTATATATCACCTAAAATTAATACAAAAAATTGTTTTGACATGCAGTTTACTATTATAGTATAACAGTTTTGAGTTAATATATAGGTATTTTTACTGTCAGTCTGCATTAATTGTATTTTTATATCTGGGAAATATAACTGTCAGTAAAGAAGAAAATAGATGATGCGGCTTATACTGCCAACAGTGAGTGCACTGCACTTTCAAAATTACTGCTCTCTTTAATATTACACCTCATTACACTGTATGGAAAACACAACTTGACATATTCATCTCAGTCATATGATTGAACAGGTAGTTCAGAGGGGATGTCTGAATGGATGAAGAGAGCATGGAAAAATGTCATATCAATCAGAAGAGCTTATGCGTGCAACAGGCGGAGTCTTGCTTCGAGGGGATCCCTGTGGATGAGCATTCACACACACAAACAGAAACTGTTGTGCAGCTAATGTGAGTAATTGGTCAAATATGTTATTGGTAAGTAAATAAAATGCTATAAGAGAGTACAGATGAAGATAAGGAATAGTCATACCCTAGGTTGGCCCTTTGAATAGTTGACATGGGCATAGAGAAGCATAGCGATGTCTTTGTGTCCAGCCTCCAGAGCAATGGACAGGGCAGTGCTCTCATCCTACCAGCACACAGACACAAAATATACCAAGCAAAAGCACACAGACAAATTTAAACAAGAATACAAATAATAATAATAACATTATTTTAAATCTTTTCTCTCAGATAGCCATGTGGTTACTCACATTGT